TTTCCTTTATAAGGGCTAACACTGATGCCCCTTAGGTCAAGATATGAAACTTTAACTCAATATGCAAAAGACTGGCTAAAAAGCCAGTGTCCACTAGAAAATGCCCCGTGCCTTGGTGGCAGGTGGAGGGGTTACACGGTGCACGCTGATCCCAAGGTCATCCGACTGAAAGCCCAGCCACGCTGCAGGAGAAGTATGGATGGGACTTTCTACTCCCATGGAGAGTTTCAGTCTCAGAAACTCAGAGGCCATTCTACCCTGTCCTCTTAGGTCACTGGGGTCGGCACTGACTTCGTGGCAGGTTGGGAAGAAGACCCGGTGAACCACTTGTGAGGACTCTCCGCCCGAGGAAAGCCAACAGAGCCCAGTTCTAGGGAGACTCCGTAGGGCCGTGCCAGGAGTCTGAACTGACTAGTGTTTGACTGCGTGTGTAAAGATTCGAGGAAATAAAGTCAACAAAAGAATTAGGTCGTTGTTAGTTGGTGTCCAGTTGATTCTGACTGATGGACCCCCAGATAAAGTATAATAATGTAATCTTTTACATTTGACTGATCCAAATGGAAAAAAAGTCTGTGTATTAATTTTTGGTCACCAAGTCTGTAGCTTGTATTGTATATCGTCTCTGCTCTCCTGGAATTTATCATTTATCCCTATGGGTGTTTTTTTTTTTTAATCAATATAGCATCCATCTTCAAAATTATAATCAGATCCATTAAAACCCTAGTTATTCTTTCCAGTTTTGAAAACACAACCAGTGTGCTTTTGAAAAAGCCCACACACCATTACTTACTATTTCAAAATGAAAAACATATCCTGGAACCCATACTTTTAGGATAATAGGGTGAAATAACTTCCTACGGAGTTCAAACCCAGTACTGTGAGTCTGCATTTTGCTCAGTCTGTACAGAACATGGGGAGTCCTGGGGGTGCAGTAGGGTATGGATTGAGCTGCTAACCATAAGTCAGTGGGCTGAACCAACCAGTCACTCCACAGGTGAAAGCTGTGTCTCCCCCAAAGATCTACAGCATCAAAAACCCAAAGGGGCAGTGTTATTCTGACCTATATGGTCATTATGAGTCAGAACTGACTTGATGGCAGTGGGTTGTGTATACAAAATACCGAAAAAGAAATGATTCCATATTTCATAAAATACATAATATATATGTATACACACACGGACACACACGGCTGTCTTCTAAAATTTGTGGGGAAGATGGCATTTCCTTTTAGTTCTATTTTCCCAGACACTTCTGAAGTCCCCTCACAGCTACGTGTGTATGTGTACATAAATATACTATTATATTAATATGTATATATGCATGCACACAGTTGAATCTATTTCAACTTGGAGTGACCCCTTGCGTAAGTGTATATGTGCCTCCCAGGTTTCTTGGCTGTAATCTTTAGGGAAGGAGGCTGTCAGGTCTTTCTGTGTAGTCAGCCAGCCTCTCAGTCAGCCCACCAGGTGTGCACGGACAGATAGAAAGAGCTAGAGATACACACACATATATATGTATGTATACATATATATATACATACATAAAGGATGTTGCATGCTTGCTGCGGATGAACGTGGTTACATAGACCTTTAACTTGCTGTTGGTTAATACTCACTTTTCCATGTGGTCTTTTCCTCTGGTTTGGTGAAGGATGGACTAAGGGTTCTTTCGGCAAGTGAACGCATCTGCGACACGGAGCAGGGAAGGGAAGGCTCCCCTCCATACTGTGGAAGGCCGTTATTTCCCTTCCTGCCCCTCCAGTAAGGCCGGGGACTTTCCCTTGGTTCAATCACAAGCATTCCCATCTCACTGTGTGTCTGCACCCTCCCCCACCCAAACAAAACATTTATTAACGGAAGCCTCCAACTGTGACAGGAATTACAGTCGTGTTAATGGTACAGCTGGTGTAAAAAATGCAATCGAAAAACATGATTTAAAAACTCAGGAGCTAGGTAACCCAAGTTCATGGCGGAGATGGCTGACCAGACAGCCATGAGGAAGGAAATGCACGCTTTGGGTTAATTAGTTTGCTTTTATCCAACCTTGTAATTAGAACATGCTTTTCTCCTACTTAATCCTAAAACAGTCATTAGATTTAATAAACCTTCCTAGATTGCCACAAATGAGAAAATGAATTAGTTAAAAAAAAGTAAGCATGAAGTTGGTTTTGGCAATATGATTGTAACATTATGTGAATAAAAATGTTTTTGTTTAATTATTGAAGACTAGAGATGTCATTTTATAGGTTGTTGCAGAAGATTATAGAGTTGGGTTTGTTCTTCTCTCTTCTTCCTCATGTTCATAAAGTTGTACAAACAGGCATGTCATCTCCACAGGTGCCTTTCCAACAACTGGAAGTGATTGTTAATCACGCTTTCCTAAAATCAACCATAATTAGCTTCTCAAGCCAAAGCAGAGTCGGAATTCCACATGACCAGACGAGAGAGGGAGAGAGTGTGGTCTGCTTGTGGGTGCACTAGCAAACTCGGCCAGCATCACTTACAAGGCTCCTGTAACTGACCGCGGAAAGAGAGCTACACATCAGCCTCTCATCCTTGGTGGGATGGTCAGGTCCTCTCACAGGGCTCCAGAGTGACACCCAGCTCCATGGTCCCACAAATGCACCCTCTTTGTTGATCGGGTATGGAAGTCAGTTACTCACACGGAGCCACCTTATAGGACTCCAAGCCTAGAAACGAGTGTTTTTAACGTTATAAACAATATACCATGAAGCTGGGAAACCAAGGCCTTATTGCGCACTGTCTGTACTACACATCAACAAGTATCTCAATAAAACCACCTTAGATCTCACATACAAGTCAGTGCATTCTCCTGAGCGTCTCCCAGCCAAGCGTTGTGGACCGCAGGCTCTACCGACTGACCTATTCCCCAGTCACCGTCCAGTCAAGTAGCGTGGCCTGTACTATGGAGGGAGGAAGAAGCTCCTTG